CAGGTCTAATCAAAATTTGATTTGTTGTGCCATGTTGAACATTTAATGTCAGTGAAAATTATAAAGGATTAGGATAAAGACAAACCTGATGTTTTTTTGGAACAAAAATTATACAGACAGAATTCGAGCGGACTCGAATTAAAGTAAATTAGCGTTTGAAACGTTTTCCACAGGGTGCCAACCTGAATAGAATTTCCTGAATAGTTAATCGGAGCCAACAAACCACTCAACACTTTTGGAGTTTTCTTCGGCTTTTAATCGGTAGATTAGCTGAAATAAAACCCACAACGCTGAGCATTGATAACAGCATAATATACTAAAACATTGAAAATGGTTTAGCCTTAAGTTTTTTTAAAAATTAAGAACACTTTCTTGACTGCAACATTTTTTACCTGGAATCGTTTAAAAAGGCAATAGCGTTTTGAATCGTTGAATTGCACACCCAATGGCGTTTTAAACACAAAAATTGGTTGAATAGATTCCGTAATTAACAGTTATGTGCAACGGACTTTTTTCAAAAATCGACATTTTTGCTCATGTCTCGGGTGTCCTTGAACCGATTTTGTAATTTCGACCACCGAAAACTGCTCCGTGACAAGCCACGTCGGTTACTTTACAACATGGAAATCTTCTCGGCAAATTCTGCTCGTGGGGGTTTTCATACTTTCCAAAACTTTGAAGTCTCTTTTGTCCGATTTGATTCTTCTTTTCTTTTCATAAATCGATTTGTCTCGTTGGGATCTTTCATCTTTGAACGAAGTAAATCGGATGGTTAGAAATATTTGAAGTACTATTTGGTGCAAATTAAGGTCCCATTGAAACTTTCGTATAAGCCTGTGGGGAAAGGGTAGTACCCGGGCATGCGATTGAAAAATTCGGTTAAAAGGCATCCGAAAGAATGGGTGTAACCTAGAATGAAAATGACTCTAGGGTCTCACCTAGAGAGAAAATTAGCTGTGTGAGACCCCAGGGTCCTAACTTTAGGGTGCGTTAGTGTAACTTAGAGAAGTTTAAATTCGCAAAATTGACCAACTTCAGCCGTTGTTAATGTCTCAATAAAAAAGATAGAACAAAACGGAGACTGTCATCGTGACTGTCGTGCCTTTCTCTATAAGATATGTGAGTTTCACGACCTTAAGTCACATGGGGATGACCTGGTGAGTTTTATGTCGAGTGGGGAATTTACCCCGAGAGACATTGTTTGATTGCGTCATCAAACGGCTGCATGACATTGAGCTGCCGCCAGACTAGCCGTGTGAATCTGTCGTCCTTTGATTCATTTGCAGTACTTCAAACTCGCCGAGAGGTAGCAATGGGGTACTGAAAGTGTTAACGGAAACAAATATCGCTATGTGCTCATAATGTCATAATACACATAAGATCATAATATGTACTTAATGATGAGACAGGCATACTACGTACAAAATATCATACTTAATATCGTTATGTGTTTTGGCCTTTCATCGCGATGTTTTTATTCGTAAGTTTAAGAGGCTTGCTAACATTCGCATACTCGGTTATGGTGTTTTCTTAAGTGCTTCGATCACGTGTCTTGTTTTAGTTATAGCTTGCAGGTATGTCCAACTTCTTATGTAATAAAGCACAAAACGCGATTCGTGATTGGAAGCTTCACAGTATGCTCAACATTGATTGGGGGCCAGTTGATGTCTACTTCTCTTGGGAATTGTGCTCACGAACGCCACATCTGAACGCCATATCTTTGCACGCCCAAAAAATGTGGTTTACAAAATTAAGTGTTAACTGTGTGATGAACATGGAAGGGTCATATTCTATATTGTGGAGTCCATGCGCCTATTTTTTTTTTTTAGATGTAATGAACACCTTCGAGGCGCTAAAACAAAACAGGGAGTACTCCTTTCGGTGACCACATTTTTGGCAAAACACGTTCAGGCTGAAATCCAGGGAGGTGCGGACTCTATGCCCCTCTTAGGACTCGGCCATCTGCAGAGCGCAGTGATACCCGGACAGGAAAATAAGTAAATTCATTCTTATAAAAGTCGGCGACCAAATCGTAACGTACAGGGCTCATCATTACCGATTATGCGATCGTGATATGTGCTTTGATGTGTGGTGAGTGCTAGCTTACAATCGTTTTAACGTGCAAGTGATGCCTGACGCGTCATGTGCAATGCCTGTTTAATTGAAATCGCTTGCACGTATAATTGATGCGTGATGGGTGGTGCCTATTTACTTCAACTCGCTTGCATTTTTGAATGATGCGTGATGCGTGTTGTATGTTTACGTGAATTCGTTTGCGTATTCGCATTTTTCGCGTTTTCTAGTTGCTGCTTAAATATGCACTGCATCGTAGTAATGGCTGACAATTGCTCCTTGTTTAAGCCCCTGAATGTTGGTGTCCTATAAAAATTGTGGCTCGCTATAAAAAAGCTGAAAAATCGAGCAGAAACATTGGCAGGCAATTTTAAGCTCACTTTTGCTATTCGTTTTTATAAAGGCATGTTGGTCAACGCATCTATATCTCCATTCCTCTGGTTCTTCTCCGAGGATGAAGGCTATTACTACTGTATTATCTAAGTTTTACAAGAAGTACGAGTCTAGATTTGCTATGCATTGTTATACTACAATCAACGAAAAATGCGCTGGAAATTTTCATACCGATTCATGCAGCAATTTCTGAACCATTCCTTCGGCGCACAGAGCCCAAGCACTTCTCCCTGGGTGTCGGGTATGTGACGCAGTCGAGGTGTAGCGTAATAAGGCGAAGGTAACGATCACATAACTCACTTTGGTCCTCTCTTCACAGTAGTTGCATACCAAACTCTTTGGAAAAAAAAACAAACTAAACGGCAGACACCCAACAGAGGCCTAGAACGACATTTTTCAGCAGATTATTTAAAAAATAAGGATTATGTGAGGTTTTTAACCACACCCAGAAGAAATATGATGTGAAGCTGGGTGAAATAAATGATGACCATTCTGGCAAAGACCTTTGGTAATCCGACTACGTCCAACTGTTACAAATACAAATTCTGATCATATTGTTACTTTTATCCGGAAACGGTTAGAACCCGACTCGTTCGGACTCGGAGTGCACCAATGCACATTGGCTGCCTGAAGTCCTCTGTTTTAAGTGGGAACATGCAGTGCCCGGCAAGAGCCTTTGTGTGGGATCCAACGCTGTGCACCATAACACAACTGTATGGCATCATTTCGATCTGCTTCGGTACCGCGCGTACAAAACGCAACTGTATTGGCATCATCTCGATCTGCTTCGGTACCGCGCGTACAAAAGCCGCTTCCTGGTCTGCAGAACCTGCACTTTTTACAGAAGGATGCTTAGGATAGCATGCGAACAGATTAACTTTGCAGATACGCGTCACCGTGATACACTTTGTTGGCTTTATGTATGTGCTTTTCTTAACATCAAATGCTGAAACCAAGAGCCTCCTTCAAGTCCTTTGATAAAAACCGTTTGCGAATATATCCATCTTTCTTTGTCTAAATAACAATCGGAGATGGCAGAAGAATTGGACACACTTCTGCGCAGTGCGCGGCTCGTATAGTGAAGTCGCGCGTTTCACCGCTGATTACGAACGATGAATGAATATAGCGTAGTGACATACTACTTATCCACATCTGAACCGGTCAGCGAATGGACAGTCCCGGCTACTGGCGATGTCTACCTGGTATGGGCGGAAACCAACTTCCGGTTTACGGCTTGCCGTGAAACACGCGGTAGGAAATCCTGGCATCGCGGCTTGCGGAAAATGAAATGGACTCGGCTGAAGAGGATACTGGAAGAGATGCTATCCATACGTTTGGTCACAAAGGGGGACGAGAGGAGAGAGAGAGAGAGCGAGATTGAGATGGAGAGAGATGATGGAGATGAGAGAGGAGACGAGAGGAGAGATGTTTGATGAAGAGAGTAGGATGGAGGAGACTGAGAGAGAGAGAGAAGGAGAGAGAGAAGAGAGATGAGAGACGGCGAGGAGAGAGTAGGCGAGAGGAGGATTAGAGACGAGATGAGAGCGAGAGAGAGCCGATGAGATGAGAGAGAGAGAGAGAGAGAGAGAAGAGAGGATTAGACAGTACCAGGACAGACAGACAGACAGGACAGGACAGACAGAGCGAGAGACAGACAGACAGGACAGACAGACAGACAAGACAGACAGACAGACAGGACAGGACAGACAGACAGACAGGACAGACAGGCAGACAGACCAGACAGACAGACAGGACAGACCAGAAGACAGGACCAGACAGACAGGACAGACAGACAGACAGACAGAGGGCCGCCGTCAGCCACCGTTCCCTGGAAAGCGGCGGCTGTCCGCCTCGCTCGGCAGGCCCGACTTGAGGCTCGCTGGATGAGCCGGTTCGGAAGTGCCTACTGTGTTTTTTTAATGAGCTGCAGAGCAAAGATATGTAGAGAACCAAAAAAAGATACCTATTTTGAAATAAATGGATACATATATTTTATAACTCACGTTTGAAAATACCAGTTAGCTAATATAAGCAATCCTGATATCTTTGGACATCTTCATAATTAAAATGTTGTGTTGCTCAGCCTATTCCGTTGTTCATGTTGGGTATGAATAGCTTTTTAGATACGGTCGTTAAAAGATAACTCCTTTTCAAAACATGCCAAATGCCGACACATTTTTATCTCTAAAACAGCACCCCCAATTAGCGTATATTTTCAGGATCGAGTTCCGAACAAAAGAAAATCCATCGACGGTTGTTTTCAAAATACCAGTGATTCGGGTAAATAGATTGGCATGATTGGTATGGGAAGCTCCACTTTATACGTGCGTGGCATTTGCTACAGGTGCCTAAATCGCACTTACAATTTAACAGTCAAGTTGTTCTGGCTTCGATTTACGCAACATTCAGCAGGTCTGCAATCAAGCTGGGACAAAAATGTTGCGATCGTCTGCATTGACTACGCGCTTCACTGTTGGGCTGTCGACGCCATGCATGAATTATTTTCCTTATGTACGGCGTTTTATCTTCGGCAGGGGCGAAGGCTGTTCATAATCGGAGAGCTACTGGACACGGAGCAGTCCTACGTGGAGTCCCTTCGGCTCCTCATGAGTGTGAGTACGGAGCGTGGCGAGTTGATTTTAGGTCACTGAGGGATGAATTGGCTCACGAATAGATAGTGAGTGCCTTGTTTCCGAGCCCGTAAAGGTTTCTTTGAGATCATACTTTGAAAGGTTCTTGCGTTCAAAGCTCTCGTCTTCCTGTACGTATTTCACGGAACCGTGTGCACGTACCAGATGCTGGGATAGTTGTCCAAAAGTTGCTCACGTGCCTTATCCACTATTATGCAGTGATTTCATTAAGAGACAGCGCATAATAAGCGCCCAGGACCAGCAACCCGTCTGTTTTTGTTCCGAGGTTGATGGTGGCTGTACTTTTCCTTCATGCTAACATCCCTGGTCTCTTGGCGTGTTTCAGTACTCCAGAAAACTACGAGAACCGGAACTGGGTGCCCTCATGGACCCAAACACTCTCCTGGATATATTCCATATGGTAGGACCTGAACACCCCACGTCTTGCCACCTCTGATGTGGATCCCGAGTCCCAAAGCCATGACGTCCGGACCTGCAGACGTGCAGGGGGACCATGATCGCAGGCGTTTGAAGCGACCTTACACTCTGGTTCTATTCCGGGCAGGTGGGAGAATCCCACCTCTTTTTATGCCGTTGCATCAATGTATGTTTTACGCGTTGTGTGAAAATTTCGGGTGCATGAAATCCACAGGGGTAGTTTCAGGATCCGGTGTTGGTGGGTGGGTGGGTGGGGGGGGGGGGGGGGGGAAGCGGGCATCCAATGAAAGCGGGCATCTGGCGATCATGTTTGGATAGTCATCTACCCGAAACTGTGCGCACTGTCTGGCGCCCACAGAAATGCTGATGCCTACCGCGAATAAGACACTTGCAATGTACAGAAGGTCTCCAATTGAGCTGCAATCGATAAAAAGTACCCTCGAAAGCATGTTCTCTGAAGCAAATCGTTGACCGAGGCCATGTTTGTTAGTGACCTTTCCGGACATTGACGAATGCGAAATACCTTGCCTGATCGTTGCGATTGAGGAGCCAAAAACATCGCTGTGATTGAGGAGCCAAAAACTACCTCAAGGGTCAAAGGCTACCTAAAGCTACCTCGAGCTTCAAAGCTACCTCAGGCATCAAAACCTATTTTCAGCGTCAGAAGCTACCTCGTAAAGCAAGTTTTCCAGTACAAAGCTGTCTGCTTTTGACCTTGGTCTGATTTCGTACATAACCCCAGATTTATCAGCTTAGTTGTTATCATAACTGTGTTTGTCTTATTGCGTTAGAAACTGTCTAAAATTGTCTGAGGTCGTCTTACACTCTACTGAAGCATCAGCTTAACAGGTTCCATAAAGTGTCCCCGCTGACGACGATGGACTGACTTTGGCGTGGTGCAGGCTAGCGATCTCAATAGCCTTATCTTTTTCAAAGCAAAAGATTGGCTTTTCAGTTGACTGCAACTAGGCATAGCTTGGTGTTGCTACATCTCACCGTTCTCAAATTATTCTGAAAAACTCAGAACGGTTAAATTCGTCCCGCCCAAGCGCGTGTTCAAAAATAACTGGAGACAGTGACCACCAGCAGCAGGCCCGTCAACTGACAAACGCGGCTGACGGTGGGTCACGCTCCAAACAAGTGTTGCTGCTTCCCCCCTTTGGAGAACTGGACATGCCTATGTCAAAGGTTTCCTCATGACAAAAGGGAGCACCATTCTATTTGCTCTACATACATCCAATTAAAAATGCGTTTTGATGACTTTTGTTACCATCTCGCTTGGCATGTCGTGGATACGTCTGCGATTTTTCAAATTTTGAACATATTAATTATGCATCCATCTGAAGCCACTGTCCATCTTTCTGCATTGTATGCGTCAAAATCAGAAGATAACCGGGGATAACTGTGTCTGATCGAAAATGTCCTGAATTTTGGCGTGTTCACCCTGTTACGCCGTATTCTACTTTCAGATCGTATTTTCTGTAACTGCAAATCACGTTGCCAGAAAACGAAAACCATTTCTTATCGGCCAGTGGTTCGCGAGATCTCGGGCGGGAAGCCACGGCCCACCCACAGAATAGGGGTGATGGGAATCCGTCCGGAACAGGGTTAAAAACTCGTAGCTAGGAACTACTGCATCAGCCGAACGCTAATACGTTTGTAAGCACATTTTTGCCACTTTAGTGAACCGCATACAAAAGCTTGTCTAACAGCGTTTCTTGGAAGGGCCGAGCTCTAATACACTATCAATTGCATGAAACCCAAGGCGCAACGAGGTGAAATTGTACTTTTTTCGCTGCCTTGGAGGGGGACCTATTGTTCCCATTCTTCTACTGCCTGTGTACGGCTACTCACACATGGTGAATTTCGTTCTCTGACATACGCAAACAGATTCCTGAAATCCTGGAGATTCACGAAGACTTTCTGCGTGAGCTGATGATGCGCGCTGACAACTGGAGCAGTCAACAGGGCATCGGGATGGTCTTCCTCGACAAGGTGAGTCCTTGGAGCAACCAACAGGGCATCGGGGAAGATCGTTGTTGTTTTACGGCGCGTCGACTGCAATGGTCATTTTGCGCCCATAACGATGCTTTTACTTAATTAGTATGGTGTGAAAATAACTTGAAAACCAATACCTTTTAACAACGAAAAGAGTTGTTTTGAATCAAGAAACGAGGAACTGTCCCCGAGCACATCGCTAATCGTCAGGAACGAAGCCTGCGGACCAAAGTGACGTCGTCGTTCTTCGATGAGGCACGGACATGATACAATGACATGGTGGACAGTGAGAACGGCACCATACCGCTGGCATAGGACTCTGTCGGCTCCATGCAACAGATGGCCATGGGTGGCATACGTATGCCCAATGCGCAACCTGCATAAAGCCACTTCTACCCACCGCACACTGCGGGAGCATGACGACCACAAGCCCAACTCGGTTTTTATCGGCCTGAACTTCATTGCCGCCCACCTGGTCCCAACAGCGCTGCAATTTGCTTCTCAGGAAGATCTTGACTGCTGGGTAGAAATCTCTGGGAGGGATAGGCAAAAACCGGGTATATGTTGCCACCGCTGCTCGCTTGGGAGCGGCATCGGCCAACTCGTTGCCCACACTACCGACGTGACTGGGGATCCAGCACAGCGCAACTCTCTTTCCAACCCGATTCAATTGTGTCAGGCGTGATAAAATGTCCTGTATAAGGCGACATGATGGATAAAAAGACTTCAGTGCAGAGAGACTGCTCAGTGTTTCTGTAAAAATGGCGTGTGAATATTCCTCACCAACTTCTATGAAGCACATCGCCTTGGTAATCGCAATTAATTCCGGCGTGGTGAAAACTGACGAGTGGGCTGGTAACGAGAACGATCGAGTGACAGAACCGCTTGACGAAAGCATAACCCACGTCATACGAGGTTTTGGATCCGTCTGTGTACGTCAGAGTGTATCCTTCATAAAACGCCAGAACCTCAAGTGCCCTGGATCTCATTAGGTGTGGTGTGACGTCTTTTTTCCTAATTTCCGTAAGCGGGGTGTCAATGAAGAGTATGGTCGTTTGCAAAGGAGGAGAAGCCAGGTGGTTTACTTGCTTTACACCTCGAAGAGGAATTCCGCTGTCGAGCAATAAGGCTCTCATCCAGAAACCAGAAACCAAAAATTAAAGCGTGCTGCTACGGCCGATGACGAAGGGAACTCACGGCAAACCGGGACAATACTGCAGAATATGTCGGATGAAGCGTGAACTGCCGCAGATTCAAGGCATAACTTATCCCGAGCTTTTTCCTCCTCGTCGAAAGTGGCAGCCCGTGTGCCTCCGTTAAAAGGCTGACGGAAGGTGATATGCGGAACGCCCCAGTAACAATACGAATGACAGTATGGTGGATGGCATCAAGAACATGCTTGCTGGATTCAGACGCGCCATCATACACAAAGCATGCATAATCCAGTTTGGAGCGGACGAGTGAACGATACAAAAGCATAAGCGTGCTTCTGTCTGCCCCATATGACGTGCGAGACACACACTTCAGTTTGTTGAGAGATTTAAAGCAGCGGTCGCGTAACATTTTTAATATGTGCGTTATATGTAAGGCGGCGGCCAACGTGCATCCCAAGGTACTTGGCCACGGCCTTATTTGGAATAGAGCGACCATATAGACGGATGCTGAGGTCATCACATCTCTGGCGACGACAAAAATGCATTGCAACGGCCTTATCGCCCGAAAAACAAAACCCGTTCATGCCACCCCCATCTTTCAACGCGGTCCACAGCCAGCTGCTCGCGTCGCTCCCATCGCTGGTGCCCTCGCTGCACTGGTCCGAATAGTAAAATCGTCAACAAAAAGGGCACGTCCGACCGACTGGGGGAGCACATCACAAATATCGTTTATCATGACCTCGAACAGCGCTACTCTTAACATGCCACCCTGGGGCACGCCGTTTATTTGTTGGTACTTATCGGAGAGGACGTTGCCGACCCGAACACGGAAATATCGTTTGGCTAAAAACTGTTGGAGAAAAGTACCCATATGGCCACGTATACCATACTTATAAAGCTTTTGAAGAATACCATGGCGCCATGTGGCGTCATAGGCGGCTTCAATGTCAAAGAACACTGTCCCCATATGCGCTTGCTCTTGAAAAGCCTTACGAATCGTAGTGTCCAAAGCTAGAAGGTGGTTCACCGTACTACAGTTTTTTTTTTCTAAACCCGCGCTGCGAGTTACTAAAAATAACGTTGTTCTCCAAAAACCAGGTGAGTCGAACGTTTACCATTCTTTCCATGAGCTTGCACAGTGATGACGTCAGTGAAATGGGTCGGTAATGAAGAGGGTCTATCCCACTCTTTCCCGGTTTTAGAATAGGCACCACAACAGCCTCCGGCCAGGCCGGAGGGAATTCACCACTTGACCATATCCTGTTGAAGGCCTCCAACAGTATGCGACGTGCACACGGTGGCAGATGTCGGAGCATCTCATTGTGGATGCCATCAGGACCTTCCGATGCACTACGAAGCTTTGTAATTGCCGACTCCAGCTCCACCAAAGTGAAGGGCTCATTGTACGCCTGTGGTCGCCTTGTGAAAAGTCCCACCACGATTTTGTCGCATTGCGCTCTTTGCCGTAAGAACAGTGGGCTCGTGTTTGCACCTTCGCTACGGCGGGAGAGTGCTCGGGCGATCTCGTCAGCCACATCTAACGGATGAGTCACCACCTGGTCGTTATCATGTAGCACAGGAAGTGGCGCGGATGAAAACTTTCCAGAGATGCGCTTGATCCGAGCCCAAACCCGCGAAGTTGGCGTGAATCTGCTAGGCGTGCTTACATGCACACGTCAGGATTCACGTTTCACTTCTTTTATCGTGCGACGGGCGAAGCTCTCGCGTTCTTAAAAGCTACTTAATTATCCAGGTTACTTCTGGCGTCAAAAGCTCGGAAATCACGTTTGCGAGCGCGAATTGCGTCACGACACTTCTCTGTCCACCACGGCACAGGAGTGCGACGGAGAAATCCAGAAGAGCGCGGGATGTAATCGCTAGCGCAATCTAGAAGTCAGTGAGTAAAATTCTCAATAGAGGGGGCCATCCTCTCACTTTCGGTTTGGCACAGTGTCTCCAGTCGAGCTTGAAACTCACCCCATTTAGTTTTTTTTTAATACCAACGTCGTGGTCTTACACCAAACGTTTTCCTTATCTGGAATCGAAGCCATACTGGGAAGTGATCACTGCCCATTGGATCATCTGCCACAGACCGCTCGAGGCTTTCCACCAGCTCGGGACCAGAAATACTCAAATCAAGCGCGGAAATCTGACCACACGGAAGTGTGAAATGGGTACGAGTCCTTGTATTTAAAACACACAGTAACAAGTCATGGATAAAATGTTCGCAAATCCTTCCACTGGTGTTCGTGCTATCACAGCCCCACGCAGTGTGATGAGCGTTTAAGTCGCCTAAAAGAAGAAGTGGTGACGGCAAATCATACACTAAACGCCTCATCTATTCCAATGGAAAAGCGACACCAGGTGGAAGATATAAGGAACACACTGTGATGTGACGTTGATTAAAATGTAGGTGTGCGGCTACAGCCTGTAGCGTAGAACGCAGGTTTAACCTCCTTGGCTGGCACGCTGTGTGCAAGGAGGACACCGCCGTGTGAGATACCGTCGGTTAACACATCGTTGCGAAACAGGGCGTATCCCTTCAGCGTGCAGTGGTGACCAGAAGCCAGCTTGGTCTCCTGCAGCGCTACGGCTGACGACAGCCTGGAGGTTGAGGACATTCGCCCTTATTCCTCTACAGTTCCACTGTAAAAATGCCTGTAAAGGGGGCGTGTTAAAAGGGCCGTTAGAGGTCACATACTAAAACCGGACACGTCCTAAAAGAACTGGACTGCGCCAGTTGCAGGAGCAGACGTTTCAGACTGAGAGCCACGGCTCGATTCTGCAGGGAACGTGCCCCACTCTGGGACAAGTTCTGTGGCTCCCTCCGTCCGACGGAGACGGGGGACCGGCCGGGGCACGCTTCACGCCAGCGTACCCAGTCCGGGGTGGCGGCGGAGGAGGGCTCATCGTCAGGCCTCTACCAGGCGTCTGGGGGTCAGCGGGGGCCTCCACTGGCCTTCTGGGCGATGGGGTACCACTGCGAGGGGCGGGCTCCTTGCTTGCACCGGACAAACGATTGGCCGCCTTAGCCCTCTCCAACTCGGCCAAGCGGGCCCGCTTGGCGTCGCGGGCGCGCCTGCCTGCCTCATGCCGTTCCATCGTTTCCGCTGCCCGTCCGCACGCACTCGCCAGTGTCGCCGGAGGCGACGAGGGCAGCGGTGCGCCAGACGGCGAGGACGGCCGAGCCCGCAGACCATGGCCGCGCTTGACCACCGTCCATCCCTCTTCCTCTCCCGTTAGCGACCCCGATGACACCTGAGGGGCCGGCGGCACAGCGTTGGGCGAACAGGACTCAGCTGAAGGACCCGGAGGATCCAACTGGGCGGGAGTCGCCCGTCCCGCCGACACCACAGACAAACGGAAGGATCGCAGGAGCGCGATGAATTGGACCGCTGACATGTGATTGATGCTGGTGGACTGTAGTACAGAGGTTTTGGATTTTTCGGCGTAAGATACTTTGGGGTGATTAGCCTTATACTGTTCACGCGCCTGGTGGAAAGAGATGTTCTTTGAGGTTTTGAGTGACATAATTTTCTTTTTCTTCATGAGGGCTGGACAACTTTGATCGAAAACTGTGTGCGGTACCTGCCCCGTGCCACATTTCACGCACCAGGGCTGCACAGAAGTACACTGGTCTCCCGAATGTTCTAGAGATGCACACTTCCCACAGACAGCTCGATTGCGGCCGTGTGGTTTTGTATGACCAAAGCGCTGGCATTGAGAAAAATTGCATCGGATTTGGAACGAAGACTCTGACTTTGACAACGGCGTACCCAACGCGGATATTAGACGGTAGATGAGGCCGGTTAAATGTCAATATAATGTTGCTTGTAGGAATTT